TTCTGGGAAATGACTGGGTGGGAGGATGTTTCAGGGTGTGGAGCTCCTGAAAATCCTCTCAGGAACTTATCAGCACGGTGTTTGGAGACCTAATGGCCCTCTTGATGCAAGGTGGAGCATATTCCCCTAACCTACCCCTAAGCAGACTGTTGGACCTCGACTAGCAATAATATTGGACAAGAGAAAACTGTAGATATATGATTGCTGCTTCGGTTTGCTTCTGCAGTTTTCCTCATTCTACCACAGAAAAATTTATTATTTTTCCAAAAAAATTCCTGTGTTCTTCAGCCCAGCTTGAACACACAGGCTAATGTCTACTTAGCTACCTTCACACTACCAGACATTCCAAATGTGTTAGAGTTTCACCAGTACGTTTCTGATTGGGAGCATTGTTGGAGGGGGGCCTCCTTTACATGTAATTTGCACCATTCAAATCTTTAAAGCCACTGTGTAGACTTTTCTGTGATTGTACATGCAATGTGGTGGCAAATAATTTATGTTGGAGAAAGTCCACAGAAAGAAGAGCACAAGCTCTCTTGGTTCCACTTGTACCAGAGCATTCCAAATCATGCAAAACACACTTCAGAAAAGGGACATAAGTGCCAATGTGAGAAACATAGATGTTTTGGAAATAAAGCAAATGCTCTTTATCTGTGGTCAGATCTTGTACTCATACTTCATGGCCTCACTTTTTGCTCCTGACCTATTTCCTAGAGCAGAGGTACTAAGAAGGGATAATTTCCTCTTTTGCAATGTCTCTGCAATTTATATTTTCCCTGACTATGGGAGTCATGTAGTGACTTAATTTCCTTCTTCCTTTGGATACTGGTATTCCTGGAGGTTTGCAATTATGTTATTCACTAATATTCATGGTAAAACTTTACCTGTCACATAACAGTTATGTGACTCAGTTGTTGAACATCCTCCAATTTTAGCTTTATCCTCAAAATCAAATTTTAGTTTTTTTGGTACATAGGTTAATGTTTCAGTCCAGGGACCAGCAACCTTTTATTTTCTGTAAAATGCCAGATATCAGATATTTTGGCACTTGTGCCCCATATGGCTACTGTTGCAATTCAACCATTATATCACAAAAGCAGCCATAAACCATACTTTCATAGATGAGCTTGGCTTTTTCTAAAACTTTATTTACAAAAATTTGCACTGGGCTGGATTTGGTTGCAGTTTATTGATATCTGTTCTGTTTTATTCTCTCTCTACTCCTTTGTCTTCATTTCTCTTTCTTTTCATGAGTTATTTCCCTAATGCTACAATGAGTACCTGTCTTTATTCTTCCTTTCTTTCCCATCTGATAAATTCCTTCTGAAATATCAAGACTCAGCTAAATCAGAATCTTATTTATATAAAATCATGACCCCTTAAGAAGTGTTTTCCATTGTAGCCATGAGGCTCCCACTGTGGCTCCAGAAGAGGATGGATCACTTGTAATGCCATTCATTTGTATAGATGTCTTTTCTTTTAACTTTATTTATATACTTCTCATTTTATTTGAAATATAGACAGACACCTTTAATCTGCTGGTCCATTCTTCAAATGCCTACAGCAGCCAGTTCTGGCTGAAGCCAGAAGCCTAAAACCCAATACAGTTTTCCCACATGGGTGATGGACCCAAGTACTTAGCTATCATCTGCTGCCTCGCAGGTTGTCCATTAGCAGGAAGCTGGATAAAAAGTGGAGAAAACAAGACTGTAACTAAGTACTCTAATACGGGATGTGGGCAAATGTCTTTGATATGACTTAAGTGTTATGCTAAATGTTGGTCCATATTTGTATGAATTTCTGTCTCTTGCTTTGAGTGCCTAACAATTAGAAATTAGTTATTCATCTGTGTATCTCTATTACTAACACATAGCAGGCACACAGTAGGTATTTAATAAATTTTTGGCAAGTTGTCAAAAAACATTTATTACTATCTGAGATACAGAGCACTTAGGGTTAAGTTGTGAAGCATGAATCTACAATTTCAAATTGATGTTACACTTTTTCTTTTGTATTTGCTATATTCAAAAAGTCAACAACTTGCTCATTATGTAACCAATTATGTCATGAAACAGCTAGCATTTCAGTTTCTTCCATTAGGATAGAAATTACATCCTTTCATTGAAAAAATATGCAACCGGAATAAAAAGGAATTCCAAGTCTGAGGGATAGCAATTAGCAAAATCAGTGTCTGAGGCACTGCCTGTATATAATTGGACTCATGGACTATTGCCTGTAACAACTGTAATAACCATATCTAGCATTTGCCTTGTTCAAGCTGCTTTGTGCAAAAAAAAAAAAAAAAATCCATTAGAGCAGACTCATAGATCTAACAACAACATACCACGCCCCTAAGTCAACTCTGAGTTGTTGCCCATGCTGAATTTTATTACTCCTGATGGACTGTGCTTTTCAATATCCTGCTTCCCAATCTGTGTTCCTATCTCCAACAACTGAAAGAGTATTCAGGGCTTATTTCCTAGTCAGAAAGATTATTTTTCAGAACAGTCAGGTCTACAAATCTCAGGACCCTTGAGTCTATAAGAAAGATTTTATTTTCCCTTTTCTGTTATTTTTTTCTTAAATACTGATGAGAAATTTTAGTGTAACTCTATCCTGGCATTCATAATGGAAGTGGAATGAATTTTGAAAGCTCTGATGAATACTATGGCTTAGCACTGTTAAGACAAGATCTGGAAGAATCTTTCAGAACTGATTTAAGCAAAAATCCACCTCTGAACTGCTCCGAGTAGTTCTAGTTTTTCCTGCCATAGAGCGTTCAGGTGTCTCCTAATCTATGTCTCTGGTACTAATTAGCCTCTGAGCACTAGACTTTAAAATTTGGACAAAAGCATAAAGAAACCAGTCCAGAGCTATTTAGTCTTCTCTGCCAAAAGCCAAACTACATCTTTAAGATATTTCTGGGAGAAAAATCCAACTCTGTCTTTCAAAGTACAGAAAAACTCACTTCCAGTGTCCCTCTCATTCCTTTGTAAGACTCGTAGCTCCTGTTCCATTAATTCCACTATCCTTCCAAGAGAGAGGCAGTGCAGTGTTTATGAAGGATGGACTCTGGAGTCAATTCAATTTTGGGAGGTGACAGGTAAAATACAGAAACTACGCTTGTTTAAACTTGAATTTCAAAGAATATTTAGTGTACATTTGTTCCCCAAATTCAAAAGAAATGCTTATATTAGAAACTATTCGTTGCTGATCTGAACTCAAATTCAACTGAATATCCTATACTTGTATTATTTGCTAATTTTAGCAATCCTAGGTTCTGCTACTTACTATAGTTAGCCTTGACAAATTTCTTAGTCCTTCTGTTAAATCGTTATTATAACCCTACCTTTCTAAGGTGCTTAACCATGTACACGACACAACATTGCTTAGCCCATGGTTAATATTTAGAAAGTGTTAACTAATTTTACTTTTCTGATCATCTAGAATATGGATCAGCAAACATTTATTGCAAAGGACAAGACAGTAAACATTTTAGATTTTGAAAGCTATATGGGCTTTGTTGGGACTACTTGCCTCTGACATTTTAATGCAAAAGCAGCAACAGTTAGTACCTAAACAAATGGGTATGGTCATATTGCAATAAAAATTTATTTACAAAAATGGGCAGTGGGCCAGATTCAACTGGTACACTATAGTTTGCCTTGCTATCAATTAAAGCCCTATGATCATCTCCTACTACTTCCTATGACAGCTTTTCCCTTTTATTAAAATATTTATTTTGTATCTATCCCTTTTAATTGTAACTTTTCTATTTAAAAGGAATTTTTGAGAGATCTCTATTGCTTAGCTGTTTAGTGATGATAATCTTATCTGATACCTATCAGATATGTCTCAATTTTCAGAGAGCTTCATATGAACAAACATATAGTAAGATTATAATGATTAATATAAATATATATCAATGAATGTGTGTATATACACCAATCTTCACAACAGTATCATAGCATAAATACAGCACAAAATTTTCCATGCTATTTGTTGGTTCTTTTAGAGATTCAAATTTTCTTTCATGCATTATCTCTCAGTTTTTCACAGTCGCTTTCAAATATTCTATGTTAGAATTTATCTGGAAAATTTCCTAGTTCCTGAATATTCCCCTGCCTTTCATTTTTCTGGATTTCTGCATTTCTGCCATATCATAATATGCCTTCTCTCCTTTCTCTTCTTGTCAACAGACTGTACCTTCATAGAGTAGAAGTCCCAGAAATTCTAAAAGATCAAGTTCCTAAAAACAAACCTAGAGATTGTCTTCACTTTCCTCGTTTTGTAATTGTGGATGTTAGTATATGTATAGGAAAGTAGCTCAAAAATTTTTGTGGACAAATGGAATGAAAATATAAGATTATTTTACGTGAAAATTTAAAATCTATGAATAGTTTGTTTCATAATATATATTTTTCATTAACTTTTCAAAAAATGTTCCTGTGCCTGTGTTTCAAAATTGTTTGCACCAAAAATAAAGCTGTTACCCTCGTATGTGTGTACATGTGTATTTGTGTGTGTATTCCAAATAGTTTGCATCTCTCTCTGTATCCACTTTGAAGTCATGGCACTTCTTTGTCCAGTGCTTGGAAATATGATACCAGTGTGCCCAAGATCCAATTTGGTACCATCCTTCTCCATACCACTGATTGCTGTTATCATTGAGTGATTGCAGCTCTGCACACTAATAGCTCTGCAAAAAAAGCAAGCTTAAAACCAAAGAGAGGTGGGTTCTTTGCAGACAAATTTACAACAGTTGAGAAATTAGAAGGCCTCTCTTATTATTGTATTGCTCTCCTTTCATCTTGAGCCTTCTGATGTTTTCTTTTCATTTCCTCCCTGATGCTCTGAATGAATTTGCAGACATTTTAATGAGATGAGGCTAGAGCCAGTCCTGGCCCATCATTAACTCCTTCCCCTCTGTCATTCTGCAAGCCTTTTATGACATTTCTAGCTTCTAGAAGTTTAAGTACAGGACTTTAGTAAGAAAAGGCATAGCACCTGCAGGATTTTTAGGATATGCTGTATCTAAATCAACAGCTAGTGAAGAATTCTGCTTAAGAAGTCAACTGCAGATAGATACCAGCTATGGGAAAACAAAGAGACTAAGAAGGCATAGGCTTAACTACACAGGCAATTTTCGGCCAGCTGGGAGGATGGTGTGATTTCTAGGGAGGATGAAGTTGAACAGGAGATTGTCACAACCACCACCACAAACAGCCAGCAACATGCAGTCCGAAAGTCTCAAGAGAGCCAAGGATGGAAAGCATTAATCTGTAATCCTCCTCATCAGAAAGTAAATTTCACAAAGGGAAATGTGAAGAAGATAAAGTTCAGACTTCCAATATAGAAATCCTATCCCCACCCCCAACACACACAAAAGGTAGGTCAAGAATCTGACAAGTTTTGCCAAATGTGTATGAATGTTCTGTATCTTGACACCACTTAGAAATCATTGATTACATGACATTTTGAAATGGTTCAATTAGGCAGCTCAGAATGTCTGCAGCATGAATTATACAAATATTGCTGAGAGAGTCTCCATTTGGTTTTAAAGCTTTGCCAGTTATATTCCTTCTCCTTTTTCAAATGGCTGTGCTTTTACATGAAAAGTCCATTATGCCTGCTCATAAACATACCTAAATGAAGTCTTCAGAGTATTTTGTCACTACCTACAATTTTTAAAACTAGGGCCTCAGAATATTTGAGCAAGGAGGAGCCCAACTGTCTTCACCTGATCTAAGGAAAGTTTGGTGGGAGAGAGACCTCATTCAATCAGTTTCCACTGCCTTGTCCACCCTCTCAGACCCTTTTCTGCAAGGCACTAGTGAGAAAGTTTTTATAGAACACAGCATATTGCTGAACAAGAGTACTGAAGAACAATAGAACAAGAAGCTTAACAGTTGCCTAGGCAAATGCCCTAAACAGCACTCCAGCCTCAGAATCAACCCTTGGGGCGTTCGGATCTGGCTAAAAGGCCCATGAGAGTCTCGCAGAAATGGAAAGCCAAGACACTCTGGCAAAAATGACCTGAATGAAAGATCTCGGTGAACGAGATCCCAGAAAGATCGGGCCATCCAAGAAGGAGGCACCTTTCTCTGAAGGGAGGAAGGAACCTCCACTGTGATATGGCCTTGACTAAATAAGTTCAGAGTTGGTGAACTCAAGAGGCGTCCATAGCCTTAACAGCTCATGGCAAGAGCCTCGGGTGATTGCTGACATCATAAATAAGAGTGCCTATTGTTAAATCAACAACAGGAGTCACTGTGCACCTGCTCCCCACATAGGATCTCTGTCCTTAATGTGTTTTACTATGAGAATTAACGGTAAAACTACTAGTCGAACAGTACTCTATATCTTGTGCGGTTGTGTGGGTGCAGTCTGTTGAAATCTTTGCTTAGTATATACTAAGTTGATCTTCTGTATATAAAGATAATTGAAAATGAATCTTGATGAAGAGTGGGATGGGAGAGGGAGTGGGAGATGGGATGGCTGCGGGTGGGAGGGAGGTTATGGGGGAAAAAGCCACAACAATGCAAAAGTTGCACTTTGTTAATTTACATTTATTAAATTAAAAAAAGTGAAAAATAAACAAAGAGAAACTCAGAAATAAACGTCATATTAAGGGATAAATATTCTTGTTAAGAGTAACTATATAGGGCTGGTGCTGTGGTGTAATGGGTAAAGCCACCACCTGCAGTTCTTGCATCCCATATGGGTACCAGTGCAAGTTTCTGCTGCTCTACTTCCAATCCAGCTCCCTGCTAATGTGCCTGGGAGAATAGTGGAAGGTGGCCCAAGTGCTTGGACTCCTGCCCTCTAGTGGGAGACCTGGAAGAAGCTCCAGGCTCCCTGCTTTGGATTGGTGCAGCTCTGGATATTGCAGCCATATGGTGAGTGAACCAGTGGATGAAAGATCTCTCTCTATGTCTCTCCCTCTCCCTCTCTCTCTGTAGCTCTGCCTTTCAAATAAATAAATAAATATTTTAATTACATAAATTAAGAAACAATAACTCTATGGGATTGCTAAAAATTAATATTTTTATAATTAAAAAAAAGAAAAAAACAGTTGCCTAGGGTCCAAAATCAAAGATGGCCTCGCAAGTCACAAGCACTCTACTGGAACAGCACCCTGTCCAGGCTGTGGGAATGGCAGCACTGAAGAAATGCTGTGTCTCATGGTCATTGTGCCCCTCTCCTGCTACTCTTCCTACTCATTCCAGTGTGTCAGGACTCCATTGCTGTTAGCTTTCTGGCATGCCTGTTTCATTCATATCAGCACTTCCATTTCTTTGATGTGGAATAATCTGTTTCCATGGAACAAGCTTCATTGAGACTGAATTCAGGTGCCCTGTCCTGTACTGCATTAACTAAGAGGCAACCACTTGACTCTGGCCTAATCAATGGTTCTGGCTTAGAATGTGGAACACAAGACATGACTCATGATTAAGAATGATGATGGAGTCTGTTCATCCCACATCCAGGCAGCAGGCCTTGGAATACTGTTTTGCTGTTACCATTTCCATCAACTAAGGTTCACCACTCCGGCATATCCCACAGTGCCACAATCTACTTCCAAGCCTGGGTTCCAGTCTGACTACAGATTCATTGAGCTAGCAGGATTATTCAAGATTATCCCCTTTTGGGCAGGTGCCACAGCTCAATGAGCTAATCCTCCTCCTGCAGCGCCGGCACACTGGGTTCTAGTCCCGGTCAGGGTGCCGGATTCTGTCACGGTTGCTCCTCTTCCAGTCCAGCTCTCTGCTGTGGCCAGGGAGTGCAGTGGAGGATGGCCCAAGTGCTTGGACCCAGCACCCGCATGGAAGACCAGGAGAATCACCTGGCTCCTGGCTTCGGATCAGCGCAGTGCGCCGGCAGCAGGGCACCAGCCACAGGGGCCATTAGGGGGTGAACCAATGGAAAAAGGAAGACCTTTCTCTCTTTCTCTCTCTCTCTCTCTCTCACTGTCCACTCTGCCTGTCAAAAAAAAAAAAAAAAGATTATCTATTTTTGTTTAAGCTAGCTAGAAGCAGTTTGTCCCATGGCAAACAAAGAAATGAACCAGAAGGGCCAACCAAGTTCATGGTAAAAATTGCTGAGAAGTGTTTATCATACTTTCAAGGAAATTGTGCATGGGCGTGTATGTTTGTGTGTCTCAAGACATCGTATATGATGAAGAAAAACATAGGTACAGTGACATTTCCTTCTGGAAATTACAGAAGCTAGCATACAGAGCTGTAACTGGTTTCCATGCTGAGCTCAGCACAGGAACTGAGCTACCACCATGTAGTTCTATTCTTCCCCAGCCATTTAGAAGGGAAAAGTCCTGGGAGCTCTGCTCCATCGTGTGTATCACTTCTCTTTTCTTGAAACACCCAATCAACTGTTAGCAGAGGATGCTAAGATGTATTTATTAATTTGAAAGGCAGAGTTACAGAGAGAAAAGGAGAGAGAGACAGAGAGACAGAAGAGAGAGAGAGAGATCTTCCACCCATCGATTCACTCCCAAAATGGCAGCAGTAGCCCTGGCTGGACCATGCGGAAGCTAGAAACCAGGAACTCCGTCTAGTCTCCCACATAGGTGGAAGAGTTCTAAGCACTCTGGCTATAATCTTCTGCTTCCCCAGGCAGATCAGAAGTTAAGCAGCTGGGACTTGTTCTCATTTAGGATGCTGGTGTTGTAGTGGTGATTTAACACATTGTGCCATGATGCTGGCCCTTTAGCAGAATATTGATCTTTAACATGGCCTACAGTATAATAGTGCTCCACCTTATCCATAAAAGATACCTTCAGATGCCTGAAACCACAGACAATACTTCACCTTATATATACTGTGATTTTTCCCATACATGCATGCATATCTATAATAAGTTTAATTTAGAAATTTGGCATAATAACTAATAATAAAATAGAACAATTATAAAAATGTGGCAATAGTAACTAATAATAAAGTAGAACAACTATAGTAATCCTCCGTCTCTTTCTTTCAAAACACTCAGTTTTACAAGAATATACTTGGATCGCAGTTGACTGTAGGTATCCGAAACTGCAGAAAGGAAAAGCCTGAGTAAGGGGAACTACTCTATTTGTCACTTGGAATAAGAAGGTGTTGCCTGCCACTAACTATGGCCAAGGAAGGTGAAGCCTCTCTCCACATTCACCTGCAATTCTACACGCCCTTCCTGATGTCTGTCTTCCGAACATCCCTCCCCTGTCCCCATCCTGAGCTGGAGTGTTAGGTTTCCATTAATTCTCCACTCTCACAGACCAACTGACTCTTTAAAGCCCCAAGGCAGAAATTCAAGGAAAATGAAATTGCAAAGTTAGGCATGTTCTTTCAATTGTTTTTTCCATCTCGTCCTCTGTTGCAGTTTGATTAGAGAGAAGTTTTCTACTTTAAATGGTACTTTTTCTCTGGAAAAACAAATCACTTAAAGAAGGGAGAGGTTTAGAACTCTGGATTTAACTTTACTGCTAATTACTGTGCCACATTGAGTGACTCAACAGTTCTGAAAAATGGAAGTCAAAAATATTAAAAGAAAGTTCCCTAATGCATCATTGGATTTCAATTTAAAGAACCTTTAGAAAAAATTTTGCCTGTCTTTGATTCACAGTGGAAAATGAGAAGTGAGGAGGAACTAACCATAAGAAATTTTATATAAAAATTAAAAAAAATCACTGCTTGGTTAGAATAAAACAGCTTATAAAATCACCTTAATACAATAATTTAGAGAAACTTATAACAAATATATTATTCCTCAGGAAAGCCCTTAGAAATTACTTGTTCTTTGCACTGAGCCATGTTTTCAAAGCTTTTTGCAGTTATTTCAAGGAAGAAGATAAATGGGTCGCTCGTGCAGTAAGCACATCTCCATGTTAGAGTTTGATATGTGGGTTATTTTAGTGCCACTCTGAACTCTTTAACAAGGAGCACACAGTTGTGTCATGTTAATATGATAAATGTTATAATCCAGAAATAATCATCTTAAAAACATCAATATACAAAGCTGACATTTTACTTAAGTTGGAATTTTGGTGAATTTTTCCACCATGTTCTTTATTCATTTTTCTTTAAAGTTTGGAGGTTTTATTTACACTCAAACTCAATAAGCATCTCAAATTTTAACTTACTTGGGATGTGGTAACAGTCATTAGCAATGAGGAAGAAACAGCCCCTGATCACGGATCAGGAGGGGAGCACTGTCCGGATCACCTCTGCTCAAGCCCAGGAAATGGAGTGCAATGCACAGCTGTGTGAGTGAGAAGAGTCACCCTGCCAGGATACAGCCCACCCTGCTTCTTGGGAGTGAGCCTCGGCTGGCAACAATGATTACTGTTCCTAAGGGAAATTACACTGGCAGAGTGTTTTCTTGACGTATTTC